CCCTCAACTTGGGATCCTTCTGCCTCAGTCTCCTCGTTACTGGGATTATGGGTGTGCACCACTGTGTCCCATCAGCTTTTCTATTTTTACACTTCTTTCTCTCTCTCTTTTCTTTCTTTCCTCCTTTTTTATTTTTGTTGCTCCTCTTTCACTTCTTTTTTCTGCCTACCTTCTATCTTTCCTCCCCTTTCTTCTTTATTCATCCTTGTCCCATCTGTTTCTTTACACTCCTTTACCCCTCCTCTCCTCCTCTTTTTCTTCTTCTCCTACATTCTTTTTACTGGTTCTTCTTAAACTTTTCTTTCCTTCTATTTAACTCTTTTTTGTACTGTATTTGTGGATTCACTTTTTAAAAGTTTATTCTATTTAACTTATTTCTGCCTGTCATCTTCATTTCACTGCATTTATTTTCACTGAATTTTCTTTTTAAAAAATCTATTGTTGTTATCCATAATTCTAGGTAATTTTCTTCTTTTTTTCCAAACATTTTCTCTTTCACTCTCAGATTCTCTATTTTCAAACTTAACCTAGATACTCATCCCTTTTACACTTTTAATCTTTTTTCTCATCTTTTCCTTCCTTCCCTGTTTCCCTTTCTGTAGTCTCTTGATGTTCTTTCTCTTGCCTGCCTCCTTGCATTTCTCCACCCACCCCAAATCAAATCTACTTTTACTTATTTTCTTCCTTTCCATCTCTTTATTTTTTCCTTCCTATCATTCTCCCTTTAGTCTGTCCTCTTCCTTTCCCTACCTTTTCTTTTTAAACTCTCATCTAACTGACTCCTGCTTTACAGATCTTTTCTTTTTTCCTGTAAATTTCTTGTTTTTGTATTGTCTTTTTTTTAAAGAGAGAGAGAGAGAGAGAGAGAGAGAGAGAGAGAGAGAGAGAGAGAGAGAGAGAGAGAGAGAGAGAATGTTAATATTTATTTTTTAGTTTTCGGCAGACACACATCTCTGTTGGTATGTGGTGCTGAGGATGGAACCCGGGCCGCACGCATGCCAGGCGAGCGCGCTACCGCTTGAGCCACATCCCCAGCCCCAGTATTGTCTTTTTTACTGGCTTCTTTTCAGAGTCCTACCTACATCAGCCTGTTTATTTAACTATTAAATAATCTATCTTTGCTACGTTTTATGGTTTTACTTTTTACCCACCCCATGTTGTTCTTAGTTTTCTTGCTTGTTCTCTTCAAGTTTTTTTTTTTCTCTTTTACCTTTACTCTATCTTTTTCTGTGCTATTTCTTACTGGCTCTTCCTTTTTAGTCTTATGTACATACATACCTACCTATCTAACTAGCTATCAATCATTTCTATTTCTATTTAACACTTTTTTCCCCACATTTTTATTGGTGCATTAAAGTTGTACATAATGATGGGATTTATTGTTACATATTCATACATGCATACAGTGTAACAATATAATCCTGCCAATATCACTCCCCATCCAGGACTTGCCCCCTACCTTCCCTCCTCTTATCCCTTGGTCCCTTTCCTCTACTGATATCCTTTAGATTTCCATGACATTTGTCCCCAGTAGCTCTCTTTTTAAATGTCTTTTCAAAATATCGTTACCTATATTGTACTTGATCTTCTCACTGGCTCCTCCTTTTCAATTTCTCTATCCCTTTGTCTCACTTACTTTGCTCTTTTCCTAGTGTCCCATCCCTTTTAAACTTCTTTGTTTTGTTTTCTCTGTTCCCCCAATTTTTCTTCCTTGTTTTATTTGTCTATGTGTTTTTACTTTCTCTTTTATTTGCTTATTTTCTTCCCTCCCTATCCTTCCTACCTTCTTTTCTGGTTCCCTCCCCTCCTCTCTCCTTCCTTTTTTTTTTTAAACTCACTTTATGCTGGATTATTTTCTTAAGCCTCTCCCCCCTTTCCTTCTCTGTTTCTAATTCTCTCCCTCCTGCTATCTTGCTTTGTACTGTGTTTAATTTCTGGTTTACAGTTTTTTAATCAGACCCACCTGTCTGATTTTTATGACTATTTTGTCTTTTTATAAAAATGGAAATCCCTTTTTAAAAAGACCCTTCCTTCCCTAACTGCACTTAAATTTCTTAATGGCTCCTTGTTTCAAACATATCTCCCACGATTACACTTCCTCTTGTTTTTCATTCTCCTTTTTCCTATTGGATCATCCTTTTAAAATTTCCCTTTCTTCTTTTTCTTGTTTATGCGTTTATCTATGACTTTTACCCCACCTCTTTCTTTCAAAGTGTTTCTTACAGTTTTTCTTGTCTCCCTTATTTTCTTCCCTTCCTTCCTTCCTTCCTCCATCTTTTCCTTCTCCTCCCCCTAAACCCCTCCTTCTTCCTTTTCACCTTTCATCTTTTCCTTCTCTTCCTCCCTCCTTTATCCCTTCCTACGTTTTTACTTACATTTTATAGACTTCTCTTTTAAAATTTCTTTTATTATAAAAGTCTCCCTGTTAAGCCCTATCCCTTTTTATTTTACTCTTTTCCTACTATCTCATTCTTTTTAAACTTTTTTCCTTTCTCTGCCTTTCCTTCCCCCTCTTTCTTAACATTTTTCTTCCTCTTTTCATTCACTCTTTTCTTTCCTCACTTTCTTCCTTCCTCCCCTCAACCTTCCTTTATTTATTTTTACAGGCTTCTCTTTGAGAATTTATATTTCCCTCTTCTATTTCTTATTTTAACTCTCCCCTGCTTATTTTTGTCCTTTTTAATGCTTCCTCTTTTTTTAAAAAAGTATTTTTAGTGGCAGATAGATAGATGTGTTTATTTATTTATTTATTTATTTATTTCTATGTGGTGCTGAGGATTGAACCAGTGCCTCACACATGCTAGGCAAGTGCTCTGCCACTGACCCCAGCCCCAGCCCCTGCTTTCTCTCTTTTTAAAAAAATATTTATTTTTTAGTTGTAATTGAACACAATATATTTTATTTTATTTATTTATTTTCATGTGGTTTTGAGGCTCAAACCCAGGGCCTCACACATGCAAGGCAAGCACTCTATGCTGAGCCACAATCCCAGCCCACCTTCCCCTTTTTTTTTTTTTAACCTTATCTTACTTGCTGTCTTTCTCTGGTCCCTTTATTTCTCTCTTTTTCTCTTCCTCCACCTTCTTTGTCTTTCTTTATTCCACGATTTCTTTCTATACTTTCCTTCAACATCTTTCTTACTGGCTGTTCCCTTTTAAGGGTCTGTTTATATCATTTATCATTTAGTATTGCTATCTCCTTTTAAAATCTTTTTCTTTATTGTACTTTTCTTACTGAGTTATTATAAATTTCTGTTTTGTTTTTTAATTTCTCTCTTTTTACTTAACTTTCTTTTTATATTTATATATTTTACATCTATGTATCATTTTCTTTCTGCCTCCTTTTTATTTTTCTTCCTTCTTTTTCACCTATTCTCTTCCTATTGTATCCTTTACTTTGATTTAGTCTACCTTCATTGTTTTGTGTTTTCTTACTGGTGTCTGCTTTTCCCTTTTAAAGTCTGTGTTCTCTATCTACCCATCTATCTTTTTTTGTGATAATGGGAATTGAATGCAGGGGTACTTCACCAGTGAGATACATTCTTAGTACTACTTTTTTCTTCTTTTTATTGGTTCTTTTTAGTTATACATTAGTATTCATTTTTACATACTCATAAAAGCATGAAATATAATTTGTTCTAATTCAGTCCCCAGTACTTCCCCTTTCCCTCCCTTTCTACCTCTGCTTATTCCCTTCCTTCTACTTTACTGATCTTCTGTTTACTTAGGTTTTTTTTTTAAATTAATGTCTTCTGGGGCTGGGGATGTGGCTCAAGCGGTAGCGCGCTCGCCTGGCATGCGTGCGGCCCGGGTTCGATCCTCAGCACCACATACCAACAAAGATGTTGTGTCCGCCGAGAACCAAAAAATAAATATTAAAAATTCTCTCTCTCTCTCTCTCTCTCCTCTCTCACTCTTTAAAAAAAATAAATAAATTAATGTCTTCTAATTTTAAAAATGGATGTACAAGATGGTGAGATTCACTGTGGTGTATTCATATACGTACATAAGAGAGGCCAGATTCATTCCCATTTCTTTCCCTATCCCATCCTTTTTCTCTTCCCTTATTCCTCCTTTATCTACTTCACTGATATATTTTTATTCTGAGTCATGGACTTGCTAAGTTGCTGAGATTGGCTTTGAATTTGCAGTTCTCCAGCCTTAGCCACCTGAGTAGCTGAGATTAAAGTGCTTGTCTTTTTTGCTCCCTTTCTTGCATTTTCTTTCTCCTTTCTTTGCCTGTTTTTTTCCTCCTCATCTTTCCCCATTTCTTTCTGTCTCTTACTTGTTTCATTTTATTCTCCAGCTGTCTTCTTCTGTACAATTTCTTTGACTCTTTCCTCCTCCTGGTCACCATTTCATCCTTTCTTTTTGTACCATCTTTCTTTCTCCTCCTTTCTAACTTGTTGTTGTTACTTTTTCTGTTTCCTGCTTATTTTTTTCTTTTATATCTCTTTTAAAATTTTCTTTTTTCTTACTAGCTTGCTCTCTCTGTTAGATTAAGTATGATTTTTCTTACTGATTTACCATTATTTTATATTTCTCTTTTTTGTCTCCTTTACTTAGTCTTATTTTTTTGTAATTTTTTTTCTGTAACTGGTTCCTTTTGTTATACTTTTTTTTTTTTTACTCCTTACTGGCTCTTCCTTTTTAACTTATTTCTCTCTCTCTGTAGCTCTGTTTCCTCTTATTGGCTGTTTGATCTTATTGGCTCCTTTTAAAACCAGGTGTATAGCACTATTGTCTATTTAGTCACTTTATAAGAACAATTGATCTGTTTCAATGTTTATTTTATATACATGTGTATGTGTACTCTTTACAATTGGAGTTGTAACTGGGAAGTGCCTTACACAGTGCCTGAGACAGGTACTGAGAACTTCTAGGATTTAACTTTTGCAAGAGTCTTTGTTTTCACCATATAAGTAGAGAAGGGTTTTCTAAAAATACCAATATTTAATATACACAAATGCCTCTTCTACTTAGTTCTTTTTTCTCTCTTACCTGTTTCATCTTGTCTTTTGTTTTCAAGGATATTTTCTTGTGATTCACTTGCTTTATGCCCATTTCTTTGCCCTTTTTGATAATGATAGGCAATTTTTTTCTCTAGAAGAGCTTGTTTCTAAAATATTAAAAATATATTTAATACATTTTAAATTGTTAATATCAACTTGTCATTAGAAATTAAAAAACATACTTCAAATGTTATAGTGTATTTGAAGTGAATCTTCATTCATGTCTGAAAATTTATAAAGTTACAATGAGTACAAAACTACAAAGGTAGTAAAGCAGTAATTTCCTGTTGTGGCCCAGCATGAAGAAAAAAAAATTTGTAATACTGTGTATAAAACCCAGAGCCTATGTATGCTAGGCAAGTGTTCTACCATTGAGTCACATCTCCAGCTCAAGAAAAATATATTTTAATATTTTATTAATAATTAATGATTAACTAATTAATTAATAATTTAACTAATTGTCTGATTTTTCAAGGTTGTTCACACTTCAGACAAGCCCTTGATGTACAGGTTTAGGCCAAACTGGATCTCTCCAGTCTAGGCCACTTGTAACAGCACTGTAATATTTAAAAAATGGCAAAAGCCTTTCCTCAAACTGCCCAAGTCTTTGGTAAAAGCTCACTACCTTCCGGTCAATCTCTTGTTTGATTTTCCGACGTTGTTCTTCAACTTTTGCTTCTCTTTTTACTTCTTCTCTGATTTTTGTCAGAAGAAACATTTCTTTTGTTTTCCATTCCTAAGAAACACAATGTTACCGTAGTCAGCATGGATTCTCTGAAACATTTTTAAAAAGTATTTTGTATATCTTCCATCAATAAGCAAAATAGGGCAAATCCACAGCCTAATTGAAATTGAGCCAACCATAATGAAAATCTCACTCTGCATTTAGAATTGGCTTGTTTCATTTTCTTTCATTGGGAATGTGTTGGTGGATGCAATGGAATGGCAAAAGGAAAGAAATTATTTTGTTATCATATGTTTAATTCAAGGAGAAATGTGGTTCCAAAGATAGTTCTAAAAGGCTACTGGCAAGAGGGTTTTCTCTTTTGGACTCAGGGTATATTATATGTTATCTGTTGCTCTTAAATATATTTTGATGGAAAAACTAAACAAATAATAGCTTTGTCTAAATTTGCAGAAGGAGAATGCAGCCATGATTATTTTTCACTAGGCTCAAATTTAAAAGAACAGATAAAGTCTGACTGTGTGACTATAATATAAGGGACCTGTAATTTGTGGTATAAATCTATTTGAATTAAAACTTGTTTATTATAACAGGGATAAAAGATTTACAGGGGTTTATTTTTCAAACCTGAAATAACTTCAGGTGAGAATACTAAACATGGTTACATATAAAACAACCATACTCAATTTTCACCCTGATATTTAAAATTTGGCATTCCTTACCTCTTCAATTTGTTTATGTAAGTTAAGTTTCCTTCTTAGATGTTCCTGATGTCGTCTTTCTTCTTCCTTCATCTGAAGTGCACTTTGCCTTTCTGTTGTGTTTTCATTCTTGTCTAATTCTCTACTAATCATATGTAAATATCTAAGTAAAAGTACAAATATAAGTGAAAATAAGTTGATGATTTCCTTCATGATGGCATTTTCTACTTTAATATTTCCAAATCACCAGTTTTGTTGCTTTTTATTTACTGAACTACAGGGAATTGAGAGTTATCCAGGGACTTTTAAGCTGGCCTAATCCACCAACTCATCATGATATACTTGTTTTACCATTCTGTTATGCAATTTTCTGTTCCTATGCCTGGAACAATGGCAAAATATGGAACAGTGTGATTAAAATTTTACAAAAAATATTTAGAACTCAGTGGTTTGGGGTACATGACTGTCCAAAGATGGCCAAAATCAACCAAAAGATTGACTTTGGTGGGGGCTGGAGTTGTGGCTTAGAGGCAGAGCACTTGCCTAGCATGTGTGTTGCTCTGGGTTCAAGTCTCAGCACCACATATCAATAAATAAAATTCCATTGACAACTAAAAACATATTTTAAAAAATTGACTTTGGAAAACCACATTTGAATTTCCTTGAAATTTAAGTGGGCATTGGCCTTTCTGTGACTCCCCAGGTCCCTGTACAACCTATCACTTACAGAGAGGTCTGTAGACTGTCACTTGGGACACTGGTGGATTAGTATATATTCTAGCATATCATGAGGTGAATTCATGCAATATAAGAGCCGAGTGATTAGGAGACTGGTCTTTACTCTGATAAAAGGAAAAAAACTGCTTAACTCATCTTTTACCTCCTGAAGCTCTGCCTCAATGGCAACATTGAGTGTGTGTGGCAGTAGCTAAAAGAGCATATAGTTTGTTATAGAATGCTATATATTGCACTCATTTCTTTAAATTTATGTTTGAAATATGTGCTAAGGACACATTCTCTCTCCCTTTGCTAGTATGGCTTGGTTTTACAAGATCAAGGATTAGTACTTTGGATTTCTTCTTCGAATATCAGTTTGATTTACCTCTTGGGTTCCTACTGGCTCAACTTTGTTAGGTAGAAACTGTCCCCTGAGCTGTGGTACCAATGTTCCCAATCCCTCTACCTCTTGTTCTTTCTCTTCTCTCCACAACAAAAACTATTGGTGGGTTGAACAGTGTTAAACTTTTGTTCATTCTGTAGTCAAGTCTTTCTAGTATTTTATAGCTTTTTGGGATCCACATGTGTCCATGAAATGTGCATTAACTTTGATCATACCTGCGTTTTATTAACAAGTCTTGGTCTGGAGTTGTTTGTGAGCTTCCCTGTAATAGCCATTGTTGGAAACGGGTAGCATCACAATTATCATAGACTCCCTTGTTTTCTTGCAAATCATTTACTTGCTTTTCAATCATTTTCTGAAAGCAAAAAGTATTAAAGATTTTATTTTTTTTATTAAAGAGAGAGAGAGAGAATTTTAATATTTATTTTTTAGTTTTCAGCAGACACAATATCTTTGTTTGTATGTGGTGCTGAGGATCAAACTCGGGCCGCACACATGCCAGGGGAGCGTGCTACCGCTTGAGCCACATCCCCAGCCCAAAAGCTTTTATGTTTGTCAGAAGTAAACCTATCCTTTGACATATTTTCTAAAAATTTTAGGCTTAGGAGATCCAACATGGCAGCCAGCGAGGAAGCAGCACTCTCAATATCTCCACATTAATGGGATCAGAAAGACCCATTAAAACAGCTACATTCTACCTACTGAGGAACTTCTAGCAAAATTCCATTAAAAGGAGACCTGCCGGGAATTAGTAAGTTTATTAGAAGTGACAGTTTGTCCCAGACAAGTGAATCTTGGCCGCCCACGTGAGCGCAGAGGTCCAATCCCGTGGCCACCGGCCCGGAGCGATTCCGCGAGAAGGGTCCC